TGACTTCTAACTCTCCAGTCCAGGTGACGTAAGATCAAGCGTCATGCCTTGGATGGCCACTTGCAAGCTTTTAAAATTCCAGAAACTATACAATGTAATTAGAGCAGAATGAAACGTGTTATTATGCTGATTAACTGGGATGTGCCATGAAATCATTACCATGGATCCGAACCAAGGAAACAGATACCATGAAGTGTTTGGTTATGCATAATCAACCCTGACAGCTACTCTTTATTAAAAATATTTCTCTCACATAACTTTTGCTAATCAACTGCTTAAAGGTTTCATCTTATTAGCGATTACAATAATTGGCTATGTAACCCTTCCCTTAACCAATGTGATTTTCCCATGGCTGTTAGCCCCCTTTCTCCCCCTTCCCCTCTTTCTTCTTAGGAGCAATAGTGATGCAGTGATTAAGTGCTTGGCTGCTCTCCAAAAGGTTGGCAGTTTGAGCCCACAGCTGCAGTGTGGGAAAGATGCACAGTCTGCCTCAGTAAAGAGTACACTCTGAGAAACACTATAGAGAAGGTCACAGTCAGATTGGACTCTGAAAAAAATTTTGGTTTTCTTGCCCCCTGGTAACCACTAATAAACTTTGGTCACTATACATTGGCTTTTTCTTCTCCTTTTATGTAAGTGCGGTCATATGGTATATGATTTTTGGTGATTAGCTTATTTTGCTCAGCATAATGTCTTAAAGCCGTAGCTTGTATCAAGGTTTCATTTCTCCTACAGTTGTATGTATGTACCACATTTTGTTTATCCGTTCATGTGTTGTTTTCACTTTCTGATTATTGTGAATAGTACTCTAATGAACATTGATATAAAAAGGAAAATCTTTTTTTTTTTTAAAAGGGAAATCTTTTCAAAACTCTGGTCCCAACTGAAACAGTCCCAAGCCCAGCCTCACTGCCATCAAGTTGAATCTGACCTTAGACTGTAAGCCTTTAAGGAGCAATTAGTGGCATCTTTCTCCTGTGGCGTCTCTGGTGGTTTGAATCACTGACATGTGGTTATTGGTTCGACACTTAACAGACACTGCTACAAATGCCCCCTTTTTTTCTACTAAAGATGGGAGTAAGTTAAGTTGTTATTGTAGTTAATTGCAACAAAGGCTAGGTTAGAATTCAAGACTCTTGCTGGCTAACAACTAGTTTTTTAAAGAGCGAATAAGAACTACTTATATTGAAAAAATTTTTAAATACCAGACAAGTCCAGTTGTGTATAATTTGCTAACCAAATACAAACCCGTTGTTGTGGGAGTGATTCTGAATCATAACAATCTTATAGGACAGAGTAGACCTGCCTGCTTCACCCCTGTGGTATAAAGTTCCCTAGGCTGCAAATCTTTATGGACAGTATAGCGCTACTAACAGTGTTGTAGTTTAGCGTGGATCTTCAAATGTTATTTTTGACAATGAATGGATGCTGTTTGTCATTGTCATTTCAGCATAGTAGAAAAGATTGTCCGATTCAAAATGGCCAGTACTAATCTATTTCAGCTTACCTAATGCTTAGTATACCAAGTTGTATACATTCCATTCATTTTTAACAACTCTCAGTTTTCCTGTGCAGGCTTTAAGCAGTTAACGTTCCAATTTTTCATGGATGGCTACAGCTGTTGTGTTTTTTTCCTTCATTTTGAGTCATGCCACATCAGCAAATGAAGAGTGTAAAAGTTTTACTGCATCCACATAATTTTGGTCAATTCTACTTGGATTAGGAAGATGAACCCTTCTGGCACAGTGAGTTAAGTGTTGAGCTGCTAACTGCAAAGTCGGCAGTTCAAACCCACCAGCTGCTCTGTGGTGGAAAGAGGGAGGGTAGCTGCTCCTATAAAGATTTACCCTTGGAAACCTTCAGGAATTAGCTCTACCCTCCTACAGGGTCCTTATGAATCAGAAGTGGCTCAATAGCAGTGAGTTCTGCTTTTGAGGAGGCGGCTCTTCTCCAGTCATATTTTGAGTGTCATCCAACCCGAGGGTCTCACCTTTGGGCACTAACTATATCAGTGTGCACACATAACGAATTTAGTGGCCAATTTAATATAATTGAATTGCTAGATCCTTTTCCCTAGTCTTTCATAGTCTGGAATTGCTGCTATAACTGTGCATTACGGGATCGTTCTGGTATTTGAAATACCAATGGAAAGCTTCCAGCGCATGGCGACACAGAAACTACCACAGTATAAACAAATGGACAGATACACTGATGCAAGTAAAATCTTGCTCAAAGTAATTAAAAAATGATTATAGCAGTACTGCAACAGGGAACCATCAGAAATCCAAGGCAAATTCAGAAGAGGGTATGGATTAGAGCAGCAGTCCTCAACCTGGGGGTCGCGACTCCTTTGGGGGTAGAATGACCCTATTACAGGGGATGGCTAATTCATAACAGTAGCAAAATGACAGTGCTGAAGTAGCAACACAAATATTTTTATGAAAAAAAATTTTTTTTATGGTTGGGGGTCACCACCACATGAGGAACTGTATTAAAGGGTTGTGGAATTAGGAAGGTTGAGAACCCCTGGATTAAGGGATAGTATTGCTGATATTTGATGGATCTTGGCTGACAGCATACCAGAGAACGCCAAAAATATTTACCTGTGTTTTTGACTGCAGAGGCAGTTGGCAGTGTGGGTCAAGCAAACTGTGGATAACATTGCCAAGAACGGGAGTTCTAACCTTGGCCTTGTGGTTAGCAGCCCAGTGATTGCTTACTGTGCTACTAGGACTTCTGTGGCTATCATATGCTGTTAAAGCCACATGATGGGGGTGGGGAGGGAGGGGAAAAAAGGAGCTGATCCCACAGACTCAATGGAAAGTAAATGTCTAGAAAAGAACGGTGGAATATATGTATGAATATGTTGATACAATTGATGTATAGATTGTGTGATCACGAGGTGTTGAACGGATCACTGAAGACAAAGGGGTGCATAAGCAAATGTGGTGAAGAAAGCTGATGGTGCCCGCCTATCAAAAAGTATAACGTCTGGGGTCTTAAAGGCTTGAAGGTAATCAAGCGGCCATCAAGCTCAGAAGCAACAAAGCCCACATGGAAGAAGCACACCAGCCTATGCAACCATGAGGTGTTGAAGGGATCAGGTGTAAGGCATCATCAGAACAAAAAATCTTACCATAGTGAATGATGGGGGGGAGTATGGAGTGGAGATCCAAAGCCCATTAGTAGGCCACTGGAGATCCCCTTGCCAGAGGGGTGTCGGGGAGGAGATGAGCCAGTCAAGGTGCGATGTAATAATGATGAGAAATACAACTTTCCTCTAGTTCCTAAATGCTTCCTCCCCGCTCCCACTACCATGACTCAAATTCGACCTTGCAAGCCTGGCTAGACCAGAGGATGTACACTGGTACAGATAGGAAATGAAAATACAGGGAATCCAGGGCAGATGAGCCCTACAGGACCAGTGGTGTGAGTGGCGAAACAGGGAGGGTAAAGGGAGAGTGAGTAGGAAAGGGAACCGATTACAGGGAACTATGTGACCTCCTCCCTTGGGGACAGACAGCCAAAAGGTGGGTGAAGGGAGGTGTCGGACAGGACAAGATTTGACAAAATACCAATTTATAGGCTATCAAGGGTTCATGAGGGAGGGGGGAGCAGGGAGGGAGGGGAAAAATGAGGACCTGATGTCGGGGGTTTGGGTGGAGAGAAAATGTTTTGAGACTGATGTACAAATGCGCTTTACACGATTGAGGGGGTATGGATTGCGATAACAGTTGTATGAGCCCCTAATAAAATTTAAAAAAAAAAAGTTGTAAGAGCCCCAATAAAATGATCTTTAAAAAATAATTAAAAGAAGCTATATGATGACATTAATCACATCAGATACTAAATGGGAGCTCTTAATTTTTCTATTTCTGAGACTACAGAGATAATCTTGGCACTATTTCACTAATTTTATGTTTGAGGAATTTCTTTTCTTAGCTCCCTAAGTGGAGTGTATTTCGAGCATCTTTGATAGGGGTGCTAATCCTTTTCATACTAATGGAAAAGTTAGCATAGCAATTAAGGCATGGTCTTTGGAGCTAGTAGGCTCCAGCTCCTAGAGTTATTAGCTGTGTCTCTGTAGGCAAGTTGCTTAATCTCTGTGTCTTGGATTCCTCATCTGTAAAGTGGAGATAACAGTATCTATCCCACTGTGGGCTATGTGTAAAGATAAATTGAGTTGTAACATATAAGACACTTGTACAGTATCTAGCACACAAAAAGTGCTAAGTATTTCTATTTTTACACGTGAGCTTCCCACTCCACCTGCCTCCTTACACATCTGTACTCACTTATATTCCAAGATACTAGCTGATTCCATATTTCCACATTAGTACTGGTAGTAGAGGATCATTGCTCTTGATTGGGTAAGTAAAGACTCCATCATGGGGTTAGGTTTGCCTTACTTTGTCTCCATAGGAGAACACGCGGTCCTGGCCAATGTTTTGAACTTACTGGTGCTACACTGTTCTCCCAAATTGACAACATTTATGTGAGTGTTATTCCTTGAAATTAAGGTTGATGACCCACATTCATCAACTTTCCTACTTATCCTGTGGATTTCATGAGTCTTTCTTCTATAAGCATACTTTCAAAGTATTCTTTCCCCTACCATTTGGAATATACAAGAGGATTTCAAAAAGTTGATGGAAAAATTCTATTTTCATTTTATTTTTCCATGAACTTTTCAAATCTCCCTCGAATAAACAAAAACAGGTAATTTAATGCCAGCTTACAAAAAACAAGCCACCGTTTTAGTAATTATTCTTAAATTGACATTCCAAAAATTTTCCATGTCGATGAGACAGTTCTTTTTAACTAAGGTCTGAATGAAAACTTTGAACATTAATCCCTCTTCTGTGGTAAAGTGGGGTTCGTAGTAGTATGTAACTCTAAGAATGTTGGGCAGATTAGCGTAGTCAACAAGTACAAAGTTCTTAGAACAGTGTTATAAAGCCAGGTATTATTTTCCATTGAATTTAGGATACCCCTTTATTCTCTTTTATATTTACATGGAGATATGCTAAATATAAAATTTCAAATGACTCCTTTTCTCTCACAGAGCAAGTGGAATTACCTGCCGTGGCATCCGTGAGCGCTTCAGTGATTAAATCTCCGTCCGATCCCTCACATGCTTCTGTTCCTCCACCTCCGCTTTTACTTCCCGCGGCCACCACAAGGAACAGTAGGACCCCTATGCCCAGTAGCATTCCCAGCGTGGAAAACAAGCCACCACAGGCGATTGTTAAGCCACAGATCTTGACCCATGTCATTGAAGGCTTTGTGATTCAGGAGGGACTGGAGCCATTTCCTGTGAGTAGCCAGCAAATTTCCCCTTTTAAAAAATTATAATCCATGTAACTTGGCTTTTGTACTGTCTTAGCCTCTACTAAAAAGCTTATAATTTTATTTCTTTAAGGTGTCAACATTTTTTTTTTTTT